AACGGTTCCTGAGTTATCGTTGACCGTAGCCAAATGTTGACGGAAGGACGAACGGACGGACGGACGGACAGACATACGACGGACGACGAGTCGACGACCCATGGCAATAGCTCATCTTGACGATGTCAATGTGAGCTAACAAATAGTAAAAAAACAGTACCTATTGCCGTAGCGATGCCAAAGTGCAGCCTTTAGTGCATAGCTACTCGCTAACAGGTCCAGCTGTGAATGCTGACAGTTCAAGATGTCACTCTTCACAAGAAAATCAAACACACTGAAATCACAAAATTCATCCAATGTAACAACATATTATCACATCGATGTGGGCTAGGATAGTTTAATGATGTCCACCAAAGTTCTTTATATAATACACATGCTCACATAGATATATTAATTTAGTTAAAATACTGATTAATAATGTAACATCGATCTATGGAGTAAAAACAAACCATGCTGGTGTCACTTTTGCCAAAGCTTTCTGCCTCGCATATGATTGCACACCCACTGATGCTAGATACTGGAAAAGCAACACGTTTTATCAATACATGTACAATTGGTCCTTCTAAAGAAACATAAACAAGCTTCAAACTTAATTTCTCAAACCTTGTTTCTGACAAGTTTCCCCTAATTCAGTCTTAACATTCTTTCAAATGAAAATTGTCTAAATTCGTACCCTGACATCTTCTACAAATCAATAGACAAATGATTACTCTCATATATCCTATTAACATATTCATCCAACCTTTGATGCGACTGCTTTACAATAATCTCTGCTTTACGAAACAGAGAACTTTGATATGCTTACAGACAAGTTCAACTCTCCAGCCTTGGTGATGGAACGCTCAAGCAGCTCATGGGTGGTGCCACCAGTCGAGTCTTGAATTCGGTACAGCCAGCCCAACGCGTGCTGCAGGCAGACGTTATCATTGGTCTCCTGCGCCATTCGGATGGCTTCGTTGACTGCTGCTAACGCCTCCTCCCTGTGCGGAAGGATGCAGCGAAGGAATCACAGACCGTCACAATTAAAATGTGCAGTTAAACATCTTAGTCGTGACAACATCTGCTATGCAATCATGTTCATATTATATTATAATTGTTATATTATTATACATACGTGCATACAATTTAACTTGACATTAACAGCCATTACACAGTCACACCATTAATGTATCAAACTTTATATAAGGATTCCTCAAGAAAAACCTCAAGTGTTCATTATAGACAGTCTGTCTGTAGACATTATCTGTCAGATTTTTGACATGTCTGTCTAGAAATAGTTTCAATATAACTGCCACTAAAGGGAAATGCCAAATTTACTCCTTCCATGCATTTCACTTGTTGTAAATACTGAAGATATCCTTTCATGCATTTCATTTGTTGTAAATGCTAAAGATATCCTTTCATGCATTTCATCAGATGAGTCTATATTATGATACTCCTGGTAATATTATAGTATAAATATACATATTATATATATATATATATGGCTGCCCTTCCTGGTTTGCTTCCATGGTGTTTTCATGTCGAGTATCTATCCATCTTTATCCCAAATAAGAAGTAAAAAAGTGTTCTGAATTTAGTCAGTCTTTAATCCTAATCTTAATCAGTGCCCTACCAATTTTTCCATTCATACCGTGTGCAACGCTTGTGTTGCCATGATGAACATTCTAATTCAACACACCTGTGTGTATATTTTTTATCTGCAGCACTATCTGAGCTATCTGAACAGCTTGAGGCTGAAGGACTACTGCAGAGTCATCGACAGTATGTATCATTACTTCGATCGCTGCCTGCTGAGCGGCCTTGACAACAAGACGAACGCAGACGACATCGGACGCAGCTGTCGCTACGCCGCCCTCAACCTCGCTGGTCTCCACTACAGATTCGCACACAAGTACGACTCTCGCACGTGTTTACAACAAGTGAAATGCGCGGATGGATATCTCTAGCATTAAAAACAAGTAGAGTCCTGATAAAGTCTATATTGTGACACACCTGATATTACCATAGCAGGTATTATTTATACTAGTGCACCTACAGCTTCGGCTAGGTTCGGGTGACTGTGCAGCAGTTGGCCTATCATGTCCTGCAGTTTCTTGGGGCTTAGAGCGTTCTTGTCGTTGCGCTGCAGCAGTGTCGTTTGTTGCGCCAGCACGTACTCTGCCTGCTTCTGTGTGTAGATGCCCAGAGCTTCCTCAAACCTGCCCACACCGCAATACAAGTCAATGCTATGCATCGGTCGTGCAACACGTGCGGAGATACTAGTTTGATATTGATGAAATTTAGATGGGGTTTCATGAAAAATATAGGAAAATATTTTATTTCATTTTTAAATCTATAGGAAAATATGAAAGTCAAAAATTATAAGAAACACTAGTACCATATATATATATGTATGTATATATGTATGTATATATATATATATATATATATATATGTATGTATATATGTATATATATGTGTGTGTTGGTGTACCTGTACGCATGTGCACATACATGGATCCTGTACATCTTTGCTTAATGTTGTAATGAACCTGATTTGAACGATCGATGAAATCAAGATTTAAAATAACATTAATAAAAACCTGTCAATCTGAGTGAAAGAAGATTCGTCTCTCCCTAATTCGATGGGTAATGTAGAGTCATCAAAGTCCGAGCCCAACGTCTCTTCTGAAAGATAGACTTCTTTCACTATCACTACTTTATATGATACACAACGTTGTGTTTATTTGAACATGAAAACAGATGACCATCTAGCAAAACCAATATTGGAGTACTTAGGTATTTCCAATGTTAAGAAACTATTAGAAATGCAAATGCTTGTTTTATTACCTGTGCATATAGCTTTACAGTAACTCTTAAAAGCCTTGCACAATGAAGCCACTTTGTTGAATGATAACCTTTCAAATCCAAGGTACAACCTTCTGATGAAGAAACCTGTTAAAATGTAATATCCGTTATATATATATATATATATATATATATATGAAAATGTATAATAGGAAAATGTAAAAGTCTAATATATGGCTATTATAGCACACTATTCAGATAGCTGTGTATATCAATAACAATCAACACTAAGACAGCCAGACCTCTTATAACCATGCATTAGTAAAAAAAAAAGAATACATTAGAACTCAATATTACGTCATATGTTCATGTGGCGATGAAAATTCTGTTTCACAGTAATATGGTACTGCAATGTAAGAAGCATTCAGATAGCAGAGAGCATAGCATTCTTCCTGATAAATATAGTAATTCTATTTGAGCAACACCCGCTCTTCCTTCTACTTGCTTTGGTCAGAGTGGAACTGTAACCACAAAATTAATTTACTCTTGCACACGTACACCCAATTAATTTTAAATCATAATTTTAAACTAACAGGAACATCCTAAACCAGGGTAGACAGAGACCTATAGATGCAATTTCATTCCTATACCTACGAATAGATACGTACCAACAATGCTACTCTTATGAAGATTACACTCCATGTCTGTTAGCAGGGAATATGCTGCTCTGACATTGTCCATCAAACTGCCCACTCCAACATTATACACATCTCTCAACCTGCAAACATATAACAGGGCTAAACACAGAAGAAAGGCATGCATAGTAGACATTGAATATATTTTATACAGTTTGCACACAGAGGCTTTTGTACCATCATTACATAACTATAGCATGACGATCAATGCATATATAGGTTTCACACATCCACAGGGAGAATTCGGTATTGCGAACTCACTTTTCAATAAAGGTTACCAGAAGGCACTGACTGTCAATCTCCTTAACCATCTTTATCAATGCTTCGACCGAAATGTCAGGACTCTGTGGTTAATAGAAAAGCAAGAATGTGTGCAATTTAAAACCAATATTTCTATAGTCTTTAATCCATTTAAATTTCATGCCTGAGACCAGTTATGGCAATCATACTAACTAGCATATTAAATCTGTTATAGTCATCCATCTGCCATTATATGTTGTTACATGTGTGTTTACTCAAATAAAACTGATAGAATTTCAATTCAACGCTCAGGCACCTTTCTGCATAATAACATTGTGGTGTTATCCCATGCCTGAGCACAAATTCTGACAAAGTTTTCACCTTGTGATGGTAAGGTATAAAATTGTCAAACACAAAAATCCTTCCTGAATAACAGTTTACACAAAAATTTCGAGATAAACAATGTCTAAAAAGAAACGGCTAACTCCACACACCTGTAGCAATGTTAGCACCATTATCGCAAAGTCTCTTCTCTGGCAGCTTGTGAACGCTCCCTTATCTTTGCTGGTCATGGTAAGGTATTCTTTAATCAATATCAACATACTGACTTTATGAGGAGTCACCTGATCCTTTAGTAACAGCCTAGGATGCTGAGAAGCCCTTGGAATGTCAGTCACAACAACAGCCATGGCCTGTTGCTAGGTGTTAAGTTGTTCAAGTTACCTACAAGGAAATGACGATAAATTTTTGTATTATATTTCTACTATTTCCTGCACAATAATATCCTGACAATTATTGGAACAAAACATAACAATGATTGAAAGGCCCTCTGTATATATAGTAAGTCCACATGGGCCACAATCTTTTTGGTGCAACATGGTTCAAAGGCTGACAATGTCTAAGACCCATATCCGTTCTTGCAACCTGCTATATGCAATAATGAAGGGCACGGCCAGCAACACATGGAAATACGCACAAGAGTTGATGCCGGCTAAAGTGTTACCTAGGAAACCAACCCATTTTAAATTGGCATTTAACTACCGCTTTATGCTATGCGATGTTATGCTTATGGTGGCACTCAGATGTGTGGTGCTTACTAGATACAATAATGTAACCTAAACCCAGGATAAGGTTACAACGCGTCCCTATGGTTTTCTGTGGAGGAACCCCTGAGTGAATCACTCAGGGCGGTTTGCTGGTGCGTTTTCAGAGAACTTCCAAACTGGGTTTATTCTAAACGGGAACTTTTCTCCGCTATCATCGAACTTACTATGTATCACACTACTCTGTATTAAACTAATATATCGTGTTACAAAAATTCGAAGCGACGAGCGGTGATTCTTCCAGCGCCATTTCTGTTGACCTGTGACGTACGCATTCCCAATGCGCATTCCCTCGTTCCAGTATTATTGATAAGCTGTCCTACCTTGTTCATATAAAACAAACTGCTTGTCCCTACGATGCTCCTACGCTGAGATAATGAGCGGTGGAAATCTGGTTTTTTCAGGAGGGAATGTTCCCCCTTCTTTTACACCTCTTGACCTTTGACCCCCAGCTTCGACATCCCAACTCGTTTTCAAATTCCCCCCCCCCCACGTCCCGAATATCGTGACCGTACGTCGAGCCGTTTAGATTTGTGCCCAACTGTTGACGGACAGACGCTCGCACG